ACACCCGGTGTTTTTCACCGGGTGTAGCATCGAACAAATCCCGGATAAATAATAACAAACGGAAGTTATTAATTTAACCACTAAAATGACCACTTAAAAAATGACACGTGGCAATTAAATATATAATTATTTTTTTATATTTAATTAACATTTTTTTGATTACCTATGGTTGGAGCAAAATAGTTTATATAGGTATCAAAATAAAATATCAAATATCAAAATTAATATTTGATATCTCATTTTGATATTTTGGGTTTGAGTTGCTCTAAATTGTGTATGTGCGTGGGATGCATTTATTCTTGTTTTAGTTTTTTTTTTTTTTCCAGCGTATCTTAACTAAATTGTTGCTTATTAATATAAATAAGTTGTGCAAATCACCGTCACAATTATTGTTAATTTTATTTTAACTAAAATGTTGCTCATTGATATAACTAAATGGTGCAAATCACCGTTACGGTTACTGTTAATTTTTCTAAGCAATTCTTTTAGACAGACCCCAGATCTAGTATCAGATCCAAAACGAGAAACGGCACAAAAACTTTTAGCAAATAGCATAAAATCGTTTTTCCTTTAATACAATAAAGACTGTAGTTTGTGAAATACAGTATAACCTCAATAAATTAATACTCGATAAATTAATAATCTCACTTAAATAATAGTTTCTTCTGATCCCAACTCGGTAAAGACCTGCTAAATTGTTAATTTGATAATTTGATATTTCATTAAATTAATAGAATTTTGCTAGTGCGACTGTATTAATTTATAGAGATTTTACTGCACAATAAACTTCAACGATTATTTATACATTTTAAATTTAGCTTAATTTTATTTTAAATATGCAAAGCCCAGCCCAAGTCAAATATATACAGTTCTCTCTCTAAACCCTTCTCTTACCGCATAAGCCGCCGCTACCCACCACCGCCGCCTCATCCCGCCTCCACCACCGCCGCCGCCTCACCCCGCCTCACCTCGCAGCTCCCACCATAAACCTGTTCTCTCTCCAACCAATGACTTTACTCGAGCTTATAACGAAAGCTTCGTCCTCAATCCAAACCCTACCCACCGACGATGAATCCAATTACCCGATTGTGCTCAACCCAGACCCTATTTTTCTGAAGCTCAAGCCCGAATCCGACGACCCGAACCCGGTCAAAAAGCTTACCGGATGGGAAATATCGCAAACGGATCAGGAACTCATCAAACTAGGGCAAAAATTCAGCCAAACCCTCAGCAGGAAGCTCAAAAACCCAAAAACATTCGGTAAAGTTGAGTTCTTGCAAATGTTCACCGCCTACTTGGAGAACGTCGGTAACAAAATTGGGGTTTCGATTTCTTTCGACAGAACCGAAAAAGGGTACCCTTGTAAATTAGTCGATTTGCTAGGCATTTTGATGAGCGGAGATGTTAAACCCTCGATTCAAGAAGCTTGCGTCGCTTTGGAAGTTTGGGATGTTTTGGAAACCATGATAATTAACAAATTCGTCGCGCATTCGCTCACCTCGAATTTAGTTTCTAATTTGATCGAAAAACGGATGTCGGATTTGATCGTGTTATGCGTGAAGCATTTGCCCGATCTCCAAGCGTACGATTTAATGTGCGTATTGAAGTACTTTCTAGCCACGCCGATCGAAGGGTACAAAACCCTCGTTGCCGTGAGGGAGTATTGGACCAGCCAAGCGATGCTAGCGATCGAAAAGGCGATCGAGTCTAAGGGAGTAGGAGTTAGCTCGAAGGAGAAGAGGTTCGCAAAGGAAGCCGCGGTTTTAGTGATGGCGGCCCACGACGGGTTCTCGGTTTCCGAACTGTGCCTGCATTGCTTCTTCGCGTCGCCGAATGTCGACGAGGTGGTTTTATCGGCTTGCGTGGGGAAGTTGAGCGGTGAGGAGATGAAGGGTTTGATCGAGTACTTGGGTAAGTGGCTGAGGAAATACGAGAGGTTCCCGCAGATTGTGCCTTGCCCGAAGGCGTCTTTGCCTCCGTTGGTTTTGAAGGTGTGCGATTGGATTCCGAGTTTTGATTGTGTTGTGAAATGTCTCGGTGTTGTTCTGGACGTGCATTTTTCGTCTTTGGTTTTGAATTCGGAGTTTCGTGAGTTGACGGAGCTTCAAGGAGTTGCTGCCTCGTTGGCTAATGAGGCGAGGCTTTGTGGGAGTTTGGTGAATCTGACTGAACGGTTTAGAGTTGAGCATAAGGGTATGAATTAAAACTTTCTTGTCTTTTTCGGGTTCTTTTTTTTTTATGAATCGATTGAAATCTTGATATGTTTGTTACTACTTAAAAATTACTGCTTTTTTCTTGAAATTTTTATGTGTTTTTCTATGAAGGGGATTGGGATTAAGTTATTTTTCGTAATGGATATCGGCTATGTATTTCGGTTTTTGTATGCGTACTATTTGGATTTTATGATTGCACTTGCGTATTATGTACTTTGGTCCAACTTTTGATAGTGTGTAAAAGCTATGGAAAACCATCATTGATTTATAAATTATATATTAATTACAATCTTGAAATAGGAGTTAGGTCTTTCTCGTGATTTAGTTCTAGTTCTATAGTTAGGTCAAAATGTTTTATTTTGGCCTATTTTGTTTTGGTGTATGATGAAATGTGAGAAGTGTTTGTCACGAAGAATTAGAATACGACCTGACTTTTAGTTTCGGAGTAATTTGAGGCTTGTCGTATATTTCTGTATCGATCTATCGTGTTCATTACAAGTTGTTATATCGTGTGTGTTAATTGGACTAGCTTTTTGATGAAGTGTATCTTGTGTGTTTTTTTGCAGCCAATGATCGTGAATCTTTAGCAAATTTTGCGATTTGAAGATTAGAACAGTTACTCTGCACAAGGGTTTTGAATTGAAGAGGAGATTTCAGTGGCTTCGTTTTCTGTATGCGGTATTTTACGCAAAATTTTGAAATATTTACTTGGCTTTATTTTTGTTTGCTCCGTGTTCGAACGAACTTTTGACATTATGAATGAAAAACGCACTTTGTTTAGATTCTGAGAGATCGTGATCTTCCAGAAAACAGTTATTCTTTTGGTTGAGTTTAAGGATTAATTAATATGTACTGATTTTGACTTGTTTGTGATGTGCATATATATATATATATATATATATATATATATATATATATAAGAGGCAAATTACGCCCACCCATAAGGTAAGATCAAATTACGAAAAAACTTCTCTGGGTAATTACAACCACCCTCCTCAACTATCTAGTGTCTTACACATTTATTTTTTAATAAAATACATAGTTGAAAGAGGTAGTTGTAATTATCCAAATAGGTGGGATTTTTTTAGTAATTTGACATTATCTTGGGTAAAATTCATTTTAATCCCTGAGCTTTGAAGTCAAAATCAAATTCATCCTCAGTTTTTCAATTTGTTTAATGTCATCCTTGAAACATTATTTCACCGCCGAAATCAATCAGTTTTCACTAAATGCCCACATTACCCCTTACAAAACCTGGGGGCCGGAACTGAAATGAAATTCAGCCGTAATTCCACTTTCATCCCTTGTACTTTAGCTCGACTGTACTTGAAAAAAATATTTCAATGTGGCCATCGCCGTTAGTTATCGGACGTTTTACCTTAACACCGTTTGATCTAAGTTTGAAAATTAAAAAAACCACCCCTCATAGTTTAAATAATTATTAAAAAAAAAAAAAATTGCGACTGGCGTCGTGGACTATGTTTTCTCGTTGTCCTGAATTTATCTATTTATTTATTTTTTAATAATTATTTAAACTGGGAGAGTGACGTTTTTGTAAATATCAGAGCTTAGATCAAACGGTGTTAAGGTCAAATGTCTAACAACTAACAACAAGGAGGTAAATCGATACCGAACCAAAGTACAAGGGGGAAGCAGAATTTACCCTTTAAATTATATTTAATAATATTTTCAAGATCTTAAAACGTATTTTCTCTCATTAATCCAAACAATATAAAAAAGGCGGCTATTATATGCAAGCCCATTTTTTTATTAGTTCAAAACCACATAAAAGAGTTTATTAGTTCAAGCCCGTAAATTAATCAAATTTTATTACATCAAGACCAAAGATGACAAATATACCCTTATCCACAAATAATACTCAAATACAAATAAATCTTATTTTTAATTTGTTCAAGACCAAAAATCACAAAAAAAAAAAAAAAATATATATATATATCACGACTGTCAACCAGTGAGACTTTCACCGCACCGGCGATGACCATCGACCCAGCCACAGCACCATTACCACCACCAACAAGTAAGTCCATTTTACTAAACTTTTGTTTGTAAATTCGAAAACATTAATCGAACATCGATGTTCTTTTTACTAAATTTTTATTTGTAAATTCGAAAACATTAATCGAATATCGATTCTTGATAAATATGTATGAATGAACATTAATCTATGCTTATTTCTTGTTGGGTTGCAATGATTTGGCCGATTTTGGAAAAAAAATTGATATTGAAATTGGTCTTTTTATTTTTTTTCGTTGGTTTCCGAAATCGGTATCCAGACCGATTTTGTACACGAAAATCGGCGTCATAATACCGATTTTTGTTAACCAAATCGGCGACACAACGTCGACTTTACAAGTCAAAATCGGTGTTCTAATGTCGATTATTGAGTACAAAATCGATTTTCGAATACCGATAGTTTTTGAATTTTTTTTTTAAATAATACATTATATATTTGGTTAATTGATATTTTTTAAATATTTGAAACAAAAATGTTTATCACCATTCGGTGGCGTCTACCACGCCTTTAACCCAATCGAGTAGAGCTTTTCGTATCTCAAATATTTATTCCTTAGATAATTCATTTGAATAATCCTCCATCAATCCCCTAGGTTGATGCACGAAAGTATGAGAAAACGGTCTTAAAAAAACACAGATAATAAAATCGGTATTTAAAAACCGATTTTTGTAGTACAAGTCGGCATGACAATACCGATAATACAAAAACAAATCGGTGTTGTCATGCCGATTTTTACTAAAAAAATCGGTTTTTAAGTACCGATTTTTATTAAAATAATCGGAATGTGGTTACCGACTTTAGTAACAAAAATCGGTATTTGCAGACTGATTTTTTGTATCGTCGGATTTTTTTCCCAAAAAAAGAAACGACCCAAAAGCAAAAATAAAGGGTTAAAACATATTTCATTGTGTTTTCCACCCTCGTAAACCACCATATCATTGTTTTCTGGTTCCATCGTGAATGTTTGGTATGTATTTGATAATTGGGTAAATTACAAACACCCCCCTGAGGTATGGTCAAATTACAAAAATCCCCCTCTTGTTTGGATAATTACATCTACCCCCCTCAACTACGATTTTTTCTTACACCTCCACCCTTATTGTGCCAAATTCAACATAATCATCTAGATTTTGTGGAATGTGCTCTAGTTTGTACTCGTTTTTTGTAAAAATACAGTTTTCGGTGCACCACAAACTGATATATACAAGCTAAAAATCACATATTATGATCATCTTGCTTCATAGTGTAGAGTTTGAATGGGATAAAACGGGTACACAAGTGATAATATTCCATATAATCTCGAAGTTTCCACTAAATTTGAGGAGTTGAGGGGGTGGTTGTAATTATCCAAACAAGAGGGGTGTTTTTGTAATTTGACCATACCTAGGGGGTGTTTGTAATTTACCCTTAATAATTTTGGAGTGTAGGATTTCTTTGTGGGTTTGTGAAGAAAAAGGAGAAGAATGAGAGTTTTAAGTCGTGAAATAAGGAAGAGGGGTTTCTGAATTTATGTATTTTATTTGGTCTTGCACAAGGAAATGATTTTTTTTTTTTTGAATGTTTTGTGTTTTTTATTTAATTTTAAATTTCATTAAGGGTAAATTAGTATTTTTATGTTAAAGGTCTTGAACTAATAAAAAAATGGGCTTGCATATAACCGCCGCCTATAAAAAAATTCACACAAATATTATTTATTTTTCAAATTCTTGTTGCAAAGTATTTTTTCCAAATCTTTAAAAATCTATTATTTAAAATACAAGTAAAAATCTATTATTTAAATATTATTCTACTAAAGGATTTTTACAGAACTAAATAAAATCATTTTTTTCTGTATAAGATATTGGTACCGTTAAATTTTGACTTGAAAATTTGTTTTTTTTTTGACAATCTTTGAAAATTAAAAAAACTCCTCAAATATTAAAAGATGCTCAGTACATCTTTGATATGCGGATTTTTTTTCGATATGAGAAAAATAAAATTAATGCGTACAACTTTACACGACGAAACTCCTTTTTCAATGTAATAATTTTCAGTGTCGGCAAAAACAAAACCAAAAAATAATTGTCAATTTACATCAAAAAAATTTGGCAACAAATTTGACATGAAAAAAAACATAGAGATTATTTCGTAATATCCATTTATACATAATTATTTTTGGATTTTTGGAATGTTTTTTTCCCATAAGTTCTTGAAAATATTTTTAAATATAATTTTAGGTCGATATGTTTTGTAGAGAAAAAAGGGACCCTTGGGGCTGAATTTCATTCAAGTCCCCCAGATTTTAAGAGGGTAATGTAGGTATTTTTTTTTTTGAGGGGTGGGGGGGAATGAATTTTGACGGTGAAATTGTTTTCGAAGGATGACATTGAACTCAATTAAAACCACATGAATGAATTTGATTTCGATTGTAAAACTCAGGGACTAAAATGAATTTTACCCCATTATCTTAAGATTTCGGCTGTAATTTGCCATATGTATATTTATACATCTTTGATTTCTAGTTGCTCTTCATAAAATACATCGTTAAGGTAAAGCTTTATAATTATAAAATCACCCACTCTTCATTAATCACTTTCTTCATTCATCACCAAATCAAAATCTTAAAGAAAATCTCACTTCCCACTCCAAGTACATGATATTAAACAAAAAGACAATCACTTTATGATTATAATTGTCCGAAATGTGAACTACGATAACCCATCTTGCGAAATGAATCAAATAATATTGAAACGATATGGAGCTGATCCTTGCTTCAATAGGGACTGCTTCAATAGGGACTTCTTAACAACCACCGATTGCAACCATTTTTTCCCGACGAAGAGGGCCAGAAGTCGCATTGGTGGCCGCAATGAAGTGTGGGCAGAGCTAAAGAACAATTCTTTTACACATCTTTTCAGCATCTTTTGCTTCAATTTTCGAGAAAATTTGTGTTTGTTTTGGAAGTAGAATAATTTTGGAATAGGAATATGAGGTGTTTAGTAACGGGATTTACTAGACGAAGAACTAAAGAAAATACGAAAACAGTTAATGAGATTAAATTTGTCATTTCAAGTGCATGGGGGAATGAAGTTTAACAAAACTGAAGGGGACTGAAACCTATTTTAAGAAGGGCAAAGGTATCTAATTGCAATTCCCCTAAAGATGCAATTTGCTAAGATACCCCAAATAATGTTTAAAGATGTGTAATGTGTTAAATAAAAGAGTTAGTTCTGAAAGCTACATCTAATCAAAGCAAAAGTCTCACAGTAATCACTTGAAACAAAGAACAATAGTGCCTCAACAACCAAATCAGTACAAAAAACATAATGGAATGAGACCAAAGTCGATTCCAATATATGCATGTTCGATATAAAATACGAGACAATAATATAAAAAAAAAACGAGAAATTAACGCTTGCCACCACCGCCTCCAATCTTGGGACCCTTTGGACCGGCACCCTTCGGCACGCTACTCTTTGAAGTCTTTTGCTTTGAGATCACTTCAGCCTTTTTAGCTTTCTTCTCATCCTTTGTCTTCTTGATTCTCTCCTTGATTTCACTGACATAGAACAAAACCAAAACACATCAATAAAGGGTTCACCTAAGGCCTCGTTTGGTTATCAAGATAGGATTAGCCATGACAAGATCAAAATCCCAATAGCACCCAAGTTCAATTATTTAGTTAATCATGTGCTTAATCTACTCAACCAAACAAGGCCTAAACATTTTGATCTATAGTTAGCAAATTATGGATTTAATTAAAAGATTTTGGTGTATGCATGTACCGTAAAGCAGCTTCACGAGCAGCATCACGAACCTCTGGCTTTTCGGCTCTTCTCTTCTGAATAACTTCCAAAGTGGCACCGACGATGGACCTTGAGTACGGCTTCTTGGTCGCCCTGCGCCTCTTCTTCACTGCTTCAGCAGCAGCATCCTATTGGTTGAGCAAAGATAAACAAAAAAATCATTATTTCAGAAATGGGATCATAAAAAGAATTTAGATAAACGACCGCAATTATCAAGATCTGTTTACCTTCTTGTGTTGTTTACGGTACATGGTAGTCCAGGTAAGCTTTGCGGGCCTCAGGCGGTTGTGGAAATACCTCTTACATTTGGAGTTCACAAAGAGGAAAACCTAAAAATAAAAAATAAAATAAAATTAGAAACATAGAGCAAAAAAAATACTGTGTTTTCAACATTTTCACCATTTTCGATAAAACACACCTGGGAGTCGGAGCGAATAAATCTGATTCCTCTTCCGGGATATATCTTGTGACCGCTAAAACGGCAAAGCTCTGTCCTGTGAACCATAGATCAATACTTAGCAAATAAATATCGTTGCAATTGACATAAACAAGAATTTAAATTCAACTACCAAATCAAAGTGCACTATCGGTATAGGGAGAAATATATATACAGTCATTGCCTAAACCAAGTCAGTCCATTAAAAAAAACCGATAATAGACGCAAATTGTTCGAAACAGCATAAACACAGTTCTGATACTGTAAAGATATCGAAGGTTTCTTTCTAGACAACAATGGAGGAAACAACATATTAACCTAGACCAAAACAAAAGTTGAGGCAAACTCCTAATGAATCGATAAATTCTTTCAGAAACACATCAAATAAAACAGCAAAAAACCCCCCGAAAACAATTCGATTCCTTTTTTAATCTCTATATGCCTATAAATCGTTTAAAATAACAATAATCAACGCCATTTTCATTTAAAAGCCAAAATCTTTTTAGAAATAACAATAGAACAGCTCGTCAATTCCGAACTCCCAACCCAAAAAAACAAATCTAAAAACAAAGAAACAAAAAAAAAATTGATCGATACAGCACCGTAATTCAAAATGAACGCCTTTGAGAAAATGAATCACATAAAATCAGGTAAACATCATCTGTGAATCGAATTAAAAGTGCGGAAAAGAAAAAAAAAAACAAATTCGTCGAAATCATAAACATTTCACAAATGGATCTGAAGGAAAAAAAAAGAGTGCGGAACTTACTTGAGAACCATGGTGGATTGTTGTCGTCTTCTTCTTCTTCTCCTCTTCGCCGCGGTTGCAGTTTACCCCGAAACCCTAATTCCCAACAATATCAGCAGAGTGTGGTTTAGCAGACACGTTTTTATAACCTTTTAATTAATAGCCCATTGGATTTACTTTCACCCAATTAAACTAGCCCACACAAATAAGCCCAACAAGACCAAAAATTAAATTTTAAAAAACAAAAAATAAATCAACCAAAAAATGTAAAAAAAAAAATTATTAAATAGTGGTCTGGCATTTTTTAATTCAAATTTAAAATTGTTAAATAATTATATATTATATTTTGATTGTATATGATTGGGGTATTGATTATAGAAATGTAACTAGCAATTTTTCCTATTAGCGTTGCCAAAAAGAAGAAAATTTAAATATATAATAAATAAATTATATTAAAAGAAATTAAGATATATTAAAATAATTAGTTGTGAAATTTAAATTATCAACATAAATGATATGCCTATAAATATGATCATAGAAATCGCAATAACACACATAAATTAGTCAAGTCATATGAATTCCTTTTAGTTGTTGTTTGTAAGAAATATTAACCACAAAATAAATTGTTATAAAAAAATTTATATGAGAGTGGATTAGGATTTTGGTAGCCGATGTACAATGAAAATCATTAGAGCAACTCCAATGCTAAATATCAAAATTGGATTATCAGATGCTCATTAGATATTTACTATAATATTTTAAAATATATTTAAAACTCATGTACTCCAACCATGGTAATCAAATTTTATTATCAATTGGAAATTTTTTGATAATTTTATATGTAATTGCCAAATGTCGATTTGTGATTGGTTGGTTAGGTGTTTATTTTTTTGATAACTCAATCTGCAAGAAGTATTTTTAGATTCAAAATGGTGAAATATCAAAATACAAACTCATTTTAATAACTCCTTGGATAACAAAAATTTTAAGTTTTAGGAGTCAAATAGTAGTTAAGTGATTTGATAACTCATTTAATAACTCTATTGGAATTGCTCTTAGAGAAAAAATGCTGGAAAATAAGAGACGTACCTAAATCAATTGACACATTCTCAATTACTCCAACCGCTAGACCATCAATTCATTGCGGCGCACATCACATATTTTAATTCATATCCAGAAAGATATTATGGAAATTCATAATCTATATAATATATAAAGACAAGGTACACAATTGATGTTTTCACATCTCCAATTTTGACCCCACATTTATTTCTTTATTTTCAATTTACTTTACTTACCTTATATATTTATATTCCACAAGTTTGACAATTTGAATATAAATACATATCCCACGTTTTTTTAGGAGATATTTTAGGAGATATTTCAATTGAGTTTAATTGTCTTTTATAGTAGGATTTCCACATTTAATCCATTAATGTAAATAGACTAATATTTTGTGTTCACAATTATTGTAATTTCCCTATTCCACACGTTTTTAATTGATATATTAAACCGGTTTCAATTTTGCATTCACATTTTTAAATTTTTCTAAATTGTATGATTTTTGCTTAATTTACGGTAACAGTAAAAAATTCGGTTTCAAAGATTAATTCATTAATATCACAATCAAACCTTTTAAATGACATGTTGATATTATTGTTTCATTAATAACTTTTTTCCTTGCTCCTAATATATTGATTTACGTTTTTTTATAAATACATATTGGATTTATTATCTAATCATTAAACATTGTTTTAAATTTTGTGGGATTTATATCTACTTACAAATAAATAATTGATATAATCTATGATATAGCAATCACCATATCACAAAATTGATTAAGCTTGCACTTTTAAGTAGTCCGTGCTTTTTTTTTTTTTTTCAAATTTTTTTATTATTTGTTTTGGATATTAGTTCAATATTATAATAATTACCAACATACTAACTATACATTAATGACATTAATTTGTATATGGTAACGAAATCATATCATATAACAAAGAATTAAGGTAATTGTTTGATTACAATCAAGTTATTTCAGGAAATTATAGATTTTATTCAATTAAGCAATGAAATCCGATCAATTTGGAAGTGAATGATTTGATTCACTATAAATATCATGTGTAATTAATTGTAACAAACCCACAAAATCTTGACTATCCACGTATCTATATAATCTCAAATACCCACTCATGAGATCTCATTCATTATTTGCATCAACATTTGCTGAAATTCATCTGCACCGAGAAGATTCATCTGCACCGAGAAGGTTTGTATTAAATACTTTGTTGAACTTGCATTTTTTGTTATTTTATATAATGGTATATATGAGTTCTTGATCTTTTCCTTACTCTTTGTCCATGTAGTTTCCGTCGGATTAGCTCCGTATGTGAGAATTGTGCTTTAATTTGTACTTCTCAACAGTACCTCTCTATCAACACATTCTCTTATGGATTCAACCAACAAAACTCCGACATCACCGAACACATCTCACCTGTTTGATGTTCCCATAGGTAATTGAAAAGGTCCAAATAACTTTTCAAAACATTTTATTTTTTGTCAATTTCTTACCGTGTTATATGATATTGTATGTCAATATACTTTTTTCTTCTTTTTTGTATGTCTTTAGAATGTTCATCGCAACCAGTTGACAAGAATGTTCCAAAACCTAAGAGAAAGATCTATATTTCTGGTAACTTTTGACAATAAGTAACTTATCTCTTCATATTTTACAATATATATTGTACGTTTTAATATGTTTGTTACTGATCCACTATAATAAATAGTTTTATACAATCAATTTTTTTACAAATAATTATGTAATAATACTTATTAATTGCATTCAGGTAGCGCTAATGCTAAGAGATCATCAATAATAAGGAGACCAGTTGCTTTTGATAATAATGTGTTATCACAAAATATGTCACAAAGTAAGAATTGTATTATTTATTATATATCCAATGATTTTATTGTATAACTATTCATATAATTTCAACTTTTACCGGTGTACAGTTCTCAACAATTCGTACGTGTTGACTGCTCATCAATACTCCATGAAAGAGAATCAACACCCAGGAGAACGGAATACACACGAAGTGACCAATGGTGTGTATACTATACGGATACTTACCAATATAGTTTGGTATATTGACTAATTGTTATTGTGCATTGTCAACTAATGTTTTATATATTATTATCCTACTTTAGATCAGATTGCTAACATAAAAGGAAAAAAAATCATGGACGAGTCCATAAAATCTCAAGAAGCTTCATTTTATGGAATGAGTGGTGTTCGTATGCCATCGGGTCGCGTTCTTACAGACATAACGAATGGTTAGTTATTGAACTCGTATGATAAATAAATCATGCCATGTATATTTACATGATATTTTAAACCATAAATCAATTGTTAAAACGTAGGAATAGAATAATAATTTTATTTCACATCATCTTCGAAATCGAAATCGACCTTTTGATAAACAACATGGACACGTTTAAATTATATAGACTGTTTACATATTTTTTAATTATATTGAACTAAACACATGCCATGTTTATTTTTATAGATAATCAGGAAAAGGAACAACACATTCCTACTGAAAAAAGAAAATTGTTACACGATGCTTTTAATACACGACGTGTTGTTCGGACACCATCGAGTTGGATTCTAAGTGATGTATCAATTGGTGAGTCAATTAGTTATTTCATATTTTAAACCAGTTTGCTTTTAATATAATTCACGTGGTGACGATTATGTTCTTATATATTTATTTTAATTCCCTACTATTTATTATATTCGTCATCCAAAAGGGGAAAAACAAGTAATTGGAAAAGAAAAAGGAATTATCGCAAAACACGGAAAACCGCAGGAAAAAGCATTTCATGGGGGAGTTCAAACTTCATCAAGTTGTGCTACATGGGATATAAGTAATGGTAAGATTGAATTCAATGACATGCACACACGCTACATAATTCGTTCTTATTAACTTAAATATTAAACTTTTATTACCATAATAAGACTATAACCATGATTCCATACATCATTATTTTTTGTTCTTTTATATGAAAAACATTATACAACAATATCAAAAAAAATCAAACATATATAAAATTAAAAATTAATATTTTAATGTATTGGTTCATCATAATAACAAAACAGGTAATTCAGGTCATCAAAAGTCTGTAGAACACCGACAAAATAATGACGTGCAAGAATTAAATGTTGGAAACACAAAATTGACCGATGAGGCCTTTAGTGGACTAGGTGTTGTTCGAACCCCATCGAGTAGACGGAGAAAAATCCAATTTCCTATGTATAGACAGAATGATGCAAGTTTTTCATCAGCCAACAAATTGAATAGTATAAATTTAGCTACACAAAATATCCATATGACTGTCAGTGGGAGCACGTTACACTACGAAGGTGAAGTTGTTAATTAATATTTCTAACTGCAATAACACATACAATTACAGACCATAGTTATTAAATGGTTTTGTTTTGTTTTTAAATCCTGAAACAGACACGATCCGACACTCTTACAATGCTGAATCTGGCACTTATGAGATTCCGGTTAACTATCTAGATTCATTTTACGAATCCACAAAAAGGTACGTTTGTATTTTTTTATGCACGTTCGTATTAATTTATGTAGTGAATATTATAAATTTTCTAATTATATGTTCTCCATATATTTATTAAATTATCATTTCTAATGTTAAGGATTGGAAAGAGAGTTGCAAGGAGTCAAAAAACGATACAGTCGGTTACACGTGGATTAAGTATGGACAGTACACCAACTATATTGGTGGACGAGGATTCTCAAACTTTAAGAGATGTTACATCGGACAGTGGAGGTAGCTATTATTTTTTACATTCACACACGGTTGGCGAAATAGGTCATTTAAATGCAAAAAACGAGATTTCATTGAATGATAAAAAAAAACGATTTTTATTTACAGATTCTGAATATGTTTCCAACGACGACAATAGCGACGATTCATTTGATTATGATGGTATTAACGTTTTATATTCTTTAAAACTATATTATTATATTGTATTCGAACTTTATGAATTACTTATACTCGATGTTGCGCTATAACAGATTACGACGATCTGGGAAACCAGTCGTATGAATGTCAATCGTGTGATGCAATGATGTGGTACGCTGAACGTCTTGATAAGCATAGGAACAAATCGAGACCAGAGTTTTCTCTATGCTGTCAAAAAGATAAAGTACAACTGCCTGATCTGAAAAATCCCCCACCTGCTCTAGCAAATTTGCTTTTCGGTACGGATAGGCAGAGCAAACATTTCCAAGACAATATCCGTTCTTATAACATGATGTTTGCGTTTACATCACTTGGCGGAAAGGTACAAACATCTATTAATACTGGTGCTGGACCATACACATTTCTGCTTCAAGGTCAGAATTACCATCTGTTGGGAAGTATGTTGCCGGAGGAAGGCGCAAGACCAAAATTTGCACAACTTTACATCTTCGATACAGAGAATGAAGTTCAGAATAGAATTGACGCTGTTAGGTAAAATCCATTTCATTTTGTGCTTACGTACGCAATACATATGATGCATTTTGAGTCGAGTGAAATTGTTTAATCATTTGAAATTGCAGGTCTGGAAATAACTCGAACAATCTTGATCCTCAAATTGTTGCATACTTGAAGGATATGATCGATGAGAACAACGTACTTGCTCAGTCGTACAGAGCTGCCCGGGATCGACTTTCCAGTGAAGGCCTGCAAGGTGTTAAGCTAAAGCTGGTCAAAAGCCGTAGCACCGATGGCAGGACTTATAATCTCCCTAATGCGAGTGAAATTGCAGCGTTGATAGTTGGAGATTTTGATACGCAAGAAGGGGTTAGGGACATTGTGGTGGAGACTCAGTCCAAGAAGTTGCAACGCATTAGTGAGCTACACCCACTGTACCTGCCGTTCCAATATCCGCTCATATTTCCTTACGGGGAAGACGGCTATAGAGATGATATTGGTTTGAGAGACTCTTTTCGAGGTAACAAGGGAAAACGAAAAAAATTAACCATGCGAGAATACTTTGCTTACCGAATCCAAAAAAGAAGCAGCGACAGTTCAGTACTTTTGAATTCAAAAAAATTGTTCCAACAGTTTGGGGTGGACGCTTATTCTATGATTGAGTCACAAAGGTTGAATTTCATTAGATACAACCAGGACCAACTGCGTGTGGACATGTACAAAGGCATTGAAGAATGTTTTTTGAGAGGGGACACTGAGGGCATATCAGCTGGTAAACGCATAGTTCTTCCCGGCTCATTCATTCCTGGACCACGGTACATGTTCAACAATTTTATCGATGCACTGCAAATTTGTAATTGGATTGGCTTTCCATCATTGTTCATAACTATTACATGCAATCCACAATGGCCTGAAATACAAAGGGTCCTGAATGACACAAGTCTCAGACCGGAGGATCGTCCTGATATTCTATGTCGCGTATTTAAAATGAAGTTGGACAGTTTGCTTACGGATTTCAAGAAAGGACATATTTTCGGCCGAATTAGAGCGCGTAAGTAATGCATTAATGTAAAAAAATAAATATGCGGTATATTCATTACATCAATAATAGTTTATTGTTTGCATATCATTTGACTTCGTCATTTTTTTTTCAGACGTATGTACGATCGAATTTCAGAAACGTGGTCTGCCTCACGCACATATATTGTTGTGGTTGGATAACGATGCCAAACCGAAGTGCTCCGCCGACATCGACCGGATGATTTGTGCAGAAATTCCTGACAAAAAAACTGACCGAAAGATGTACGACTTGGTTGAGAAATACATGATACACGGCCCGTGCGGTCATGCGAATTTGAATTCACCTTGCATGAAGAATGGCGTTTGCACGAAAAGGTTTCCAAAGAAGTTTGCACAGCGAACTGAGGCCGATGATGATGGTTACCCTGTATATAGGAGAAGGGACGATGGAAGAACGGTTACGAAGAAAAACACAATTCTTGACAATGGTTTTGTGGTTCCTTACAACCGCATATTATTGAGTAAATACCGAGCCCACGTCAACATCGAGTTGTGCAACCAGAGCAAGTCAATAAAGTATCTGTTCAAGTACGTCAATAAAGGACACGATCGTGTCACAGCAACATTTTTTCAACCTCCGTCTACGGACGCCGCTTCTGTTGTACGTGATGAAATCAAGATGTACTATGATTGTAGATATTTATCTGCGTGTGAGGCGATGTGGAGGATTTTTTCATTCGATATACACTACAGGGATCCCCCTGTCATTAGATTGAGCTTCCATCTCCCCGACAATCAACCGTTGATATTCAATGAGAACCAACCTTTAAAGAGTGTCCTGGAAAGACCAACAGCAAAGCAAACCATGTTTTTGGCGTGGTTCGAGGCGAACAAGAAGTACCCACCAGCTAGGGAATTACGGTATGGAGAGTTTCCCCAGCATTATGTGTACAAGGAGGATTCTCGTGTATGGGTGCCGAGAAAGCAAGGGTTTTCTATTGGAAGAGTCACCACTGTACCCCCGGGAAAGGGAGAAGACTTTTATCTGAGATTGCTGCTCAACATCCAGAGAGGGTGCACCAGTTACGAAGACATACGAACGGTTAGTGGCAATGTTTACGCGACGTTTAAGGATGCATGCTATATTTTGGGGCTACTTGAGGATGACAAGGAGTACATTGGTGCAATCAAAGAGGCGTACGGTTGGGCAAACGGCCACTTTCTCAGACTGTTGTTTGCTGTTATGCTGATTTCTAACAGTTTGAGCAGACCGGAATATGTTTGGGAGAGTTGTTGGTCGAATTTGTCCGATGACATTACATACAAGCACCAAAGGCGCCATAATAATCCAGGTATCGATTATTTTTATGTTGTTTTACAGTTTTTTAGTTGCATTTTTTAATTTGGTGAACACATTTGTCCTACTAACTATACCTTTTGCAGGTTTGACTCTATCAGATGATAGTTTGAAGAACTATGCGTTGATTGAAATCGAGAAAATCCTACAAAGCAACGGCAAAAGCTTGCGGAATTTTGACTCTATGCCAATGCCACTACATTCGTCGAATGACACGGAGAATCGATTAGTGCTCGATGAGTTGGACTACGATGTCTTTGCGATGGATGAAGAACTGAAACGATATCTATCTTCTATCACAGACGAGCAGAGAAAGGTTTACGATACCATCATGGATGCTGTATCGAAAAATAGCGGCGGTATGTACTTCCTCTACGGTCACGGAGGAACCGGAAAGACATTCATATGGAAAACGTTGTCCGCTGCAATTCGTTCCAAGGGAGAAATAGTTCTTAATGTTGCTTCGAGTGGCATAGCATCTTTGCTGCTTCCCGGTGGCCGAACCGCTCACTCCAGATTTGGACTGCCCATCATTGTGCACGATGGTTCCACCTGCAACATTACACAACAGAGTCCGCAGGCAGAATTGCTTATAAAGTCGAGACTTATTATATGGGATGAGGCCCCGATGATGCATAGATACTGTTTCGAAGCGCTAGACAAGACAATGCGATCTATCACGCATGTTCCCAAACCATTCGGCGGCAAGGTGGTCGTTCTTGGCGGAGACTTCAGACAGATTTTACCTGTTGTGCTGAAGGCATCAAGGCAAGACATTGTTCACGCTACGATAAACTCATCTCAGCTTTGGAAAGACTGTACGGTTCTTAAGTTGCATACGAATATGAGGCTTCAATCAAGCTCTAATCCATCTGAAGTTGAAGAAATAAAGGAGTTTGCTGATTGGATATTGAGTATCGGTAATGGGGAGGCGGGAGAGCAAAACGATGGTGAAGCTTCCGTTGAGATTCCTGAGGACATGCTAATTCCCGATTGTGAAGATCCATTACTGGAGCTATTGCAGTTTGTGTATCCAAATTTGTTGAGTAACATATCAAATCCAGATTATTTCCAAGGGAGGGCAGTGCTTGCACCGACTAATGACTGCGTGGAGTCTGTCAACGACTACTTGTGTTCTCTCCTACCCGGCGAAGAGAAGTTGTACCTCAGCGCGGATAGTATGTGCAAGGATGAGTTGAGTTCGGAAGAAAATGTTGAAATATATTCGACCGAATTCCTCAACACCGTGTCTTGCTCCGGACTCCCTTCACATAGGCTGAAACTGAAGGAAAATGTTCCTGTTATGCTTATACGAAACATCGACCAGGCGAGAGGCCTTTGCAATGGAACCAGACTTCAAGTTGTTAGGATGGGAGTTCATGTTCTTAGCTGCAAGGTTCTATCCGGCAAAAATATCGGTGATGTTGTTTTCATTCCTCGGATGACGTTGGTCCCATCGAACTCTACTTTGCCCATTAAGTTCCAGAGGCGACAGTTTCCGTTGATGGTTTGCTTTGCAATGACCATCAACAAAAGTCAGGGTCAAACACTTTCACACGTCGGTTTGTATCTACCCAAACCCGTATTCAGCCACGGTCAGTTGTACGTTGCACTCTCGAGAGTGAAGAGTAGATATGGCATAAAGATCCTAATCAAGTCTGAATCTGGTGAATCATCGAGTTCTACTAGCAACGTGGTGTACAAAGAAGTATTTCAACGTATATGAAGGTATATATCATGCATGCCATCCATTATTCATCTTATTATCATATTTTGTCTTATTAATGTGTGTATGTGCTCTCTATGTTTAGGTATATTTGCAAGTGATTTTTTTGTCTAGCATATCCGGTATAGTCGCTTTTGGTAAGTACTATAATCGAAATATTGTTTAATTACGCACCGATTATTGTTTCAGTAATGCACTGAATTCTTGCAAAATACAAAAACTTTGCAGGTTAACTGCTATGTACTGTTTGATTTTTGTGGATCTTTGAGATAGTGCAGTGAGTTTGATTCCATTAGTTTTAGTTAGTTTTTCAACTTGCTTTGGGATCGATTTTTTTATTCATCCAATATCTTAACTTATATTAGTTTTATATTTAAGTTGGAATATTAGTTTCTTCTGACACCAAATTGTTGAATATGAAGGTGATCCCCGTGCATCGCACGGGTGAGATACTAGTTTCTAGAGTTCGAGGAGTTTATGACAACAAAAATTTATAATAACAAACTCAGGAAAGTTTCGAAATAAATTTATTTCATTTATATTTAGACAAATTTTATTTAATAAATTTTAAAATCATGATATCTACGTGGATTTAAAATATAATTTTAAATTCTCACAAAGAAACCCCCATTTCTCTCTTTTGTTCTCTGTTTGAACTCAAATTGTGCAAAATAATTAGAAAAAAAGAAAAATTAAAAATTAATTCACAACCTCGGGTTTCAATGGCGTCCAGCGATGAACGTGCCTACGAATCAACCAATTCGGAATCAGAGAAGCCGAAAGCGAAGAAGAAGAAGAAGAAAGCCAGTGAAGAAGAGCTGAGAATAGAAGGCTACTCAATCGACGGATTGTCAATCGCCGGTCACGAAACCTGCGTTATTTTGCCCACTCTCAACCTAGCTTTCGACATCGGCAAGTGCCCTCAACGCGCCGTCTCGCAGCAGTTTCTGTTCATCTCCCACGGCCACATGGACCATATTGTAATTTTCTCAATTGGAAAGGAAAAAAAAAAGAAGCATTTTTTTTTTTTTTGGCGTGAAAGCATACGAAGTGCTTGTATAAATGCGCCAACTAATTAATTTTTTTCTGGTTGATAGGGAGGACTGCCTATGTATGTTGCTACACGGGGCTTATACCGAATGGCGCCTCCGACTATTTTTGTGCCGAAAGTGATCAAAGAAAATGTGGAGAAGATTTTTGAAGCACACAGAGCAATGGATCATTCTGAGCTAAACCACACTCTTATCGGACTCGATGTAGGTAATATAAAAAACGAATAATTGCATTTTGTTCGTTTTTTGGGAACTTTTTCTCGAAGGCTATAATTTAACTTTGTGATTTGTATTAGGTGAAGAGTTTTATTTACGACGAGATCTTAAAGTGAGAGCATTTAGAACTTATCATGTCATTCCGAGTCAGGTTTATCATCTCAAGCTGCTGCTTTTTGTTCGATAACATTTTTTCGGTAGTGCAATTGTGTTTCGAGTGATGAATTTTTTTTATTTTTTTTTGTAGGGATATATAGTTTATTCTGTGAGGCAGAAACTTAAGCAGGAATATGTTGGCCTAACCGGAGCCGAGATAAAGAATCTGAAGCAATCAGGTGTGGAGGTACATTTGGATAGTTTTTGCAGTTGAATTTTATGAATTTCTATATAACATTGTTAATATTGTTCGGGAAAGAAATCGATGTTCATATTTGTAGTTTTGTACTCAACGAAAGAAGAATGCTCGTATAGTGTTTGTATCGTAAAATAGATCGCTATCACATGCTGTAATGCAAATCTCATGATCTATTTGTTAGTTTTGACTAGGTTTTGCCAACCGCGGAAAATTTGGGAATATCTTGATATTGAACTTGCTTTCATGTGTTTTACATATCGAAAGAAATTCTTGTTAAAATCTTTGTTGAAAGAAGATACTCTGTGCTTAATATATTTGAGAATGGACCATTGAGTTTGCAAATTTTGATTTCTTTCTATTGGGGCTACTATTTTATATTAATTTGTGCTTTTCCGATTGGAGCAACTTATATCGTAAAGTTTATACTGCTGGCAGATTACAGATACATATACATCACCAGAAGTTGCTTTTACGGGAGATACTATGTCAGATTTCATTGTCGATCCGGAAAATATTGATGCTTTAAGGGCAAAGATTCTCATAATGGAGGTACCAATCTTTAACTACCACATACATTTTTTCTTGTTTCATTCAAGCCTCAAAAGCTAATTTGTATTTTCATAGTTGTAAATTATCCTCAAAACCTGTTTAGTTTCTAGTCAAATTGTTCTGTAAATTACCATGTAGCAGCACCGACAATCAACTGAAGAGTAAAAAAGCAAAACGAGAACTTTTTCTTAGGTATATTATATAAATATATTATATTGAAATGGAAGGCAACTTTTAGGTACTGTGGAAATTACTTACGAATTACGATGTCATGAGTGCTTTGTTATTGTGATAAGCTTGAAGAAATTGTTAGCAAACGGGCGTTTTTTATTTTATCTTAATAAATATACTGATTTTGTCATACATAGGAGGGTGTTCACTACAATACATATTTTGCATCCTCACATGTTCTAAAATAAAATTATAAGTCGGAAATTTAAGAAAATCTTTGATATGAGATTTATTAAATACAGTAGAACCTCGATAAATTAATAACCTCGCTTAAATAATATTTTCTCTTTGTCCCGACTCTGTAAAAACATATTAACTTATTAGTTCGATAATTTAATATTTCGCTAAATTAATAAAATTTTGTTAGTCCCGACTGTATTAATTTATAGAGGTTCAACTATATATGATATTTCAAAGTAAATAAACTTGTGTACCATTTTTTTTTTATATAATTTTTATCGTTCTACTAGGCATAGTATAATTTTTTTATAATATACACATGTGATTGAATAAATTCCCATCGTGAAGGGGACAATATCGGAAAATTCAAAACGTATATACGTTGATTTATTATTTGTTAACAAAAAAATGTTTCTATTTCTTCTCGATTTTGCAGAGCACCTTTGTTGAGGATTCAAGTAAGGTTGAGGATGCAAGAGAATACGGGCACACTCATTTGTCTGAGGTTAATGTTCAAACGCCTTTGTCGTTAAATTTTATTCCATTCCTATGTTATCTACTACTTTACCAAATACTGACCACAGTTTCATCTGTGTGTGGTTTTATCGAATCACCAGATTATCGGTTACGCAGATATGTTTCAGAACAAAGCAATTCTTCTTATTCACTTCTCAGCCCGCTATCAATTAGATGTAAGAAAGCTTTCCTTCCCCACATTGTATCTCCATATTCATACGCTTATACATTATAAGGTTCGATTTATCGTCGCGTGTGTATGCGATCTTGGCAGCTGATTGTTCGACGTGTTAATCCTAATAGTTTTATGTTTAATATATATATATATATATATATATATATATCAGGTTATTGAGAAAGCTATTTCCGGTTTGCCGCCTCCATTGGCGGGACGAGTTTTTGCCCTGACGAAAGGTTTTTGAAGTGCTGCAACAGCAAAGCAAGTTCGTTCACATTATTAGTGAAAAATAATTATCTGAAATAGACTCACTCGGTTAGAAATACCATTGTACTTCATTCTTATTGGAATTAATTCCTTTTTTTTTTTTTTATTATTATTATTTAAATTTCCATGAACTGGTTTTGAACATTTTTCTCATCACATCATAAAAGTTGGAACTTTGATTTATTTTATAGAGAAGAAAAGAATCTGTTACCGTATTATCACCTATCGCGTAAAGAATATTCTCGATAGAACAATATTAGTCAATACTATTACCGTAATAATCTAAACATAATTGTATTATCGCCTATATGATTGGCCGCTGGATCATTTATTACCAACTTTTTTTTTATTGTTATGTAACTAATTATTAATAATTAAAATTAATATTAGTATTAGTATTCGTATTGGCATCAACATTGAAATATTAGTATTCATATTGATGTTTTGACATCTTATATATAAGGGGTTATATGACAAACACCCCTCATTCAATTTTGACTTCTTGATAAATCCATTTTTTCAATTGATATTTATTATAAATCCAAATGTGTGGAATTATCCAAAATGTCCCTAATTAATATTGCTAAAATTTACCATATTATATTATTTTAAAAAATCCATTATTTTTTTGGTAGTTATGCAAATCCCTCTATTTTCTCCCTACACAATCCCCCAATTATCTCCCTGTCACACCCTTTCGGTTTTTTATTTTAAATTATTTTTTCCTTATTTATATTTTTCATATTTTTTTATTTTAATTTTAAAAAATGATTTTATTTTTATTTTTCGTTTTTCATGGTTTTTTTTTCTTAAGTTCGATTTTTTTTAAAAAAATGTTTTTTTTTATTTTCTTTCCAGTTTTTTTACATAAAAACCAGTATTTATAAACATGAAAACCACTCTGTATAAAACAACTATATGAACATGAAAACCACTCTGTATAATAACTATGTAACATGAAAACCACTCTGCATAACAACTATGTAAACTTGAAAACCACTCTGTATAACAACTATGTCAACATAAAAACCACTTTGTATAAACAATTATATATACACGAAAACCACTCTATATAACAGTTACAACATGAAAACCACTATGTATAACAACTACGTAACATGAAAATCACTCCGTATAATTACAAATTCCCATGACCAACAATCATTAAAATAAAATAAAAAAATCTGAATAAAAACAGAAACATGTATTATATCTCTGCAATTATATTGGAATTTTTGAAGCTCCCAACGGAGAAAAATGAGAGAAAAAACACGTAGAGAGTGAGAAAATAAGAGGTCATTGTCGGTTGCTAAACAAACAATAACAACCCTAAAAGAGATTAATGGTTCTTCTTTATTTGCTTCGTTTTTGTGATTCCCATGTGGGTTGGTGTTAAATCTTGAGTTTGCCGATTAAAATGGAGGTTATTAGATAGGATAGAGATAATATGGTCATTAAATAGCTAACTAATTCCCTAATTATTAGGATCCCTTAATGGAAAAAAATATTATATATCTTTTAATATCAGAATTAAATATACTTTTTTTTCTTAATTAGGGGTATAATGGTGATAATTAAGTGTTTTTAATTAAACAAAATTATTTTGGATTTATCTGGAAAATGTAAAATAAAATTGGACTTATTGTAATGATACTTGTGTAATGAGGGAGTTTTGTCAAATTATCCCTATATATAAAAGAAAGAAACACTGGGCAACCCTAAAAAACCCTAATGGCATTTCTATAATTATTTATTTTTTAAAATTTTGTTTTACTAATTTTCTAGCTATATTTTCAACAATTATCAAAAATGATGAATCGTGAAAAATACTTCCGGCTTCAACCTCCTGTTTTTCATCAATATATCTCAAATTTTAAGAAATAAAGATAGAAATTCAATTTGTTAAATTGATTTTTTTTTTTCACTTTTAAAATTCGATCCCGTGCATCGCACGGGGAAAAATGCTAGTTAGTATAGTAGTACTAGTACATTGTCATTAGCATTAACAATAGCATTATCTTTTCATTCATAGGGGTATTCGATTTACATTCTTGATGTGTTTAGTTCGTTGATTTTTTACATTAATGCATATTGATCTTCGTGCATTGCACGAGTTTGTGCCTTCGTTAATTATTATGGATTTTCAATGTCACAACACGTTATGTGTCTACACGTATAACTTATATTCTTATGCAATACTTTACAAATTACACTAGAGATGTCGACTATACAGTCTATACTAGACACGACCACGGATCGGGTTTGACCTGGACTCGGCCCGGACCCAACCCAACAATCGCCCCGGCCCGGCCCCGCCCCGATGACCATTGACCCGGACCCGAACCCACCAATGTATGGGCCGGTTTCGGGTCTTGATATTTTGGATTCGAGACCCGACGGGTCTACCCGAGGACCCAACCCAAGTACCCGTCAGATCCACCCGAATTTTATGTGAAATAACACAAAAAATGCTGGGTTTGGGGCTTAATTCCGAGTTGCCGAGTGGTTAGTACTCTAAATAATCCTAACTATAAATATATAAATATAAATAACACTTAAAATAATTATAATAATTGTATAACTAATGTTTAATAAAATACCACTAACCCAATCTTCATAACTTTCATTTTATTTAGTTTATGTCTTAAGGACTTAGTGATTTCATTTTTTTCTAAAATTGTTTAGTGTTTAAATCATTTTTTGTTTATAATTTTGTAAATTTGAATTTAAAGTTATGACACTTTACAAATAAGCTCATCAATGAAAATTTATTCATAAATAGATCCAGACAATAAACTCTTTTACAAAAAAGTCAACACATGTTCCAGAGATTTGTAAAAGACTAAAATAGCCTCTCATACTTTAATATGCTCCAATTTCATCATTTAATTTAATATAACCTCAATTTGACCCCAAATTTCACAAATTATTCAATTTTGACCCAAAATTTTTTTTTATGGACAATTTCGTCCGTCACCGCCGATCCTGATTTTTCCGCCGGTTTCTGGCGTTGACTTTTTCGATTTTTTTTTTCTTTTGTAACATTTTTTTTCTGTTTAAACACCAATATTGTTGTGATTGGCAGTATTATTAACCATATTACTGTTAAACACAGTAAACTTAACTATACTACAATTTAATACAGTAATATTGCTATATTAATCCTAGCAATATTAACACAGCAAAACTCATTATTATTTTGTAATATAGTAATATTATTATGTTGACCGTTCAACAAATGTAAACATAATAAAAAGCTAAAAGAATTAATATTATTGTAAGTGACAGTAATAATACTATAACAACAGTAATATGTCGTTAACCACTGTAATATTACAATAATAGACATTAATATTATTACGTTACTCCGTAAATAACTCAAACAAAACAAAAACCCAAAAAAATAATAATATTGATGTGGTTGACAGTAATATTTCTATAACAACAATAATATTACCGTCAACCACAATAATATTATTGTGTTTACAGACTACAGTAATATTATTACGTTACCTCCGTGAATAACTAAATAAAAACAAAAAACCCCAAAAAAATAATAATATTGATGTGGTTGACAGTAACATTATTGTGTTTACAGTTATTTTTACTGTCGTTGACAGTAATATAATTACATTGACTTGTCAACAAATCAACAAAAAAAAAAAAAAAAAATAACAAAGAAAAAAATTATATTGCCATTGACTGTAATTGTACTGTTAACGGCAGTACAATTACGTTAATGTACTGCCAGTGACAGTATAATTACCGTCAATGGCAACACAATTACGGTCAACGTTTAACGGCGGACGTTAAAAAAAAAAACCACTATAAAAAGTCAACGCCGGAAACCGGTGGCGGAAAAATCAGGGGAAAAAAAAAGTCAACGTCGGAAACCGACGGAAAAATCAGGAAGAATTTTTTTTTTCTCGAAAAGTCAACGCCGGAATACGGCGACAAACAAATGTTTCTTGAAATAAAAAAAGTTAAAATTGGAATTTTGTGGTGAAAGTTGATAAAATTGGGGTTGCAATTAAGAATTGATGGTAAAAGGGTTGGGTAATTTTGTCATATACATTAATGTTTCTTTTATTTATAATAAATAGTAAATGGATGTGCTTATTGGTGAAAGAGATATAACTCGTAAACCTAGAATAATAAAGATGTTTTGTTAGAACTTATGCACAAAACCCCTTAAAGTTAATCTCAAGTTTTTTCAAGTTTCAATATAATTTTTTTTTCCTTTCTTTTAATTATTTGTAAAAAAAATACAAAAAAAAAAAAAAAAAAAGAATTGAAAAACCAGTTTGAACCCAAACCCGACCGGATGGACCTAACCACGGGTCGATTTCGGATCCCCTAAAAGTTGGATCCGAACCCACCCCGCCCCGTGGCGTGTCTAGTCTGTACAATAAACCATGTATAATAAAACTTGGCATAGAAATTAAAGTATGAGAGGTTTGTACAAGAGGTATATGCATAATTTTATAAATAAAACGGGGTCTAAATTTAATTATATAACTTTAAGGGGAGGTATGTGAAAATAAATTATTGTCCTAAACGCCCCCGTCGTTTGATTGAAATTTGTTGTTGTTCGTCTCGCTTTGAAACCCCGACTACCTCTGCATATTCTTCAATTTTTCAAGCTCAACACATGGAATATCCATGGCGTCCTAGGGCATCGTCAACTAGTAACTTCTGTCCAGTCTGCTCAAACCCTCACTTCCCATTCTGCCCTCCCCCTCCTCCTCATCCACAATACTTCAGACCTCCACCACCACCTCCCGATCAACTCTTCCACACTTCCCAACCACCGCCACCGCCGCCGCCGCCGTATTATGACCCGTTCCTCGACCACCAAGGCGTTTCCACTATTAATCCTTATCCACCGCCGCAGCCGGGTCAGATTCCGCCTCGGCCGTGGAACGGCAACCCTAATTTCAGCAACCATGGAAATCCGGTTCCCGTGTTCGATTACGATAACAATTGTCAGGTTGGTGACAAGAGAATGCGGTTCAATAATGCGAACGAGGGTTACGCGAGTTCGGGGATGGCGGAAGAGGAGAGGAGATTGAAATTGATACGCGATCATGGAGCCATGAATCTAGGTTTCGGTAGGAGCTCCAATGGAGGATATTTGCCGTCGAATCATTCACATGAAATTAATTCACACAGGGAGCAGAGTTACGGAGAGCGGCAATTTGTGCACCAGCATGCTGTAAATAACACGAATTCGGAGTTGGGGAGATCACTTCACAATCAAATTGAGAATAATCATGGCTATGGGAACTTTAAACGGCATGGTAATCACGAAATTCTGGGTTATAATGCAACACAGAAACACACAGTGGAGCCAAAATCGGCCTATTACGGTTTACCCAATCAGGATCCTCAAAGGTTTAATGTTCAGCCACCACTCCCCACTTCCCCACCACCGCCACTTCCCGTGGAGCCACCAAGATTTCGTTTCGCAGAGTCTTTTGTTCCCTCCTTATTTCCGGTTGCTGTTGATTCTTCATCCTCTTTTCAGTCACCAAATAAAATGGTTTCTGAAGCAATATCATCTGTTCCTACTCACTTCACAAGTAAAGCAAATGGATATTCAAGTGGTTATTATCGAGAGGTACGCTCTACTTATTTGCTATATATTTTTTTTATGCGTATCGAATTGGTTGCTGCATTGAAATGTATAAGTATTATTCTTATTGATAGGCTAGATTTCAGAATTGATTGGATGATGGTAAGTGTTTGTTTATGTATCTGTGTAGTGAAGACAGCTAAAGATTTTTCTAAGCGCACTGATAAATTAAAGTTGTGCTAGTCATCCTTGGTACGAACAGTAAATAAGCGGAAATACTTTTGGCTTGCATATTCTTAACTAACTAAGATCAAATAAGCACAAGAAATATTTTAATCAATGATTTGAACCAGGTTGATTTGACGTTAAAACATTAAACCTCACCTCCACCCCTCCAAAAAATATCTTCGATTATGCAAACGACTTGATTCAAGACTTTAATCTTTCCAAACTAGTTGAACCTGGTCATTTTGTTGAGTTTTGCTCAAGAACCCTTTTGAATCCTGTGTGCGTGTGCATTACCGGATGATACAAAAACATGGGTTTAGAGAGGGCTATTCATTCTGAAAAGCAATTAAGACTTCACCTTCTATCCAAACTTGGACCAAGACAGAACTTTGACTTGTTCAGTCATTTATTTTGATGAGATACAAATGCTGCAAGCAAGATCTATTTGCAGTTTGTATTATTTTGTTCACTGCTCTACTCTTTGTATTCCATAATTATGTATAATCCATTGCTGCGATATCATATTTTGGTAGTAATTTGACAAAAGTTTAATCACTGACGACGACCACAATTTTCGCTGTATGTTGAATTGTTGATCAAATTAAACCCCACATTTAGACTATGTATGTCGAATGAGCGACTTATGCTTGCTTTTGCTCTGTGTGTGTGTGACTATGTAGAGCTTTTCCGAGTGAGCATTCAAACCTTTATTCTGGCAATTTTAGCAGCCGTCAATATGAATTTTACTGAGGTGAAATGAAAAACAGTCCCTTTGAGAAGTTCGATGATTTTTGAGAGAAAATGTTTGTCTTTTCTGGTCATGTAATAAACTGGAGTGATTCCCTTATGTCTAATTTAACAGATAGGAGTGGGAAGTTTGATGTTGTGGAATGTGATATGTATTTTTACTTTCTTGAGTTAGTAGCTGCAAATATGTCATTCCGATTGTCTGCATTTTCTTGGCTTCAAGTATTAAATCAGTCATTCCTACACTGCATTTAACATGATTACCTTTTTTATTTGGAGAGTACTTCGAATTTCTTAAGGATTCTGATAATTTGATTTTCAGGAAACTCAAGCCGTAAAGATGGCTTCATCCAAAACATTTAATGGAGTAAGTGAAGAGTTGCCTCCTAGGCATCTCTCATTCGATAAGCCAAAAGTTATTGATGCCTCTCACATCTTAAAGCATCCACATCGTGCTAACCGCCCAGATCATATTGTCGTAGTTCTGAGAGGACTTCCAGGTTCTTATTATTTGATAAAATACTGAATCATCGAATTTTATGTATTATTAATTTATTATCTCATCACTCAGCAACATCTCTTTGTTGGCCAGAAATCTCCGTCTTTCTCTATCCTATTCAGTAGACCTGGTTCTTGAGTATGCATGAAAAATAACCTTAGAACATTCTGAAATATTTGATTTATTCATTTTTCCATGTGCTGAAGTTTTACTTTCTTTTGAAATTTAATTGGCCATTTAGGATAGACAGGTTTAAAGTTCATGATGATATCATCACGGTGGTCTCATATATATATGAGCTGTGACAATGTCATCAGAAAAGTTGGAAAGTGCATTGTCAGACCCTCAATGTGTTATATCTGGTAAAAGAATGGAGGATGGTGTCTGCGGTCTGCCTGAGGTTAATATCTCAGGTTAACAAATATCAGTTTTAGTTAATTTTGCTTAAGTATGCACTATAGGAGTTGGTGCCTAAGTAATACATCTCAGACAGACTTCTTGACAGATTTATTTGATGAGGCAGACGTAGTATTGTTCAGCACTGAGAGATATTCAAATTCATTATGCAAAAGGGATAACTTTGTCCCGTCATGAATAACTTAATGAATGGGAAAATTATGAATCCTGTTCCCAGTTCCACGACACTGAGTCATATATGCTTGCTTCCTGTTAGTGTGATTACCCTGTTTATGTAAAGTTGGTTTATGTATACTGTCCAAATAATATTGGAACTCTTTAATGCAAGAATGAAGATTTAAGGTGTTATAACAGATGTTTAATTCTTAAGACACTTATTACGTTGATTATTTACGTGGAACATCGCCTTGCTCTTTCAGGGAGTGGTAAGAGCTACTTGGCAAAAATTTTGCGCGACATTGAGATTGAAAATGGTGGCACTGCTCCACGTATTCATTCTATGGATGAATATTTCATGACTGAGGTGAGAAGATGTTTTATGTCCTTTTGTATTTGTTATGACTTTCCTCATTCAATTGGGAAAGATTTGCATGAATCAAATGTAAACATTGTCTTTACTAATTTTGCAGGTTGAGGAGAGTGAGAGTTTAAGATCTTCTGGTTCAGTTAGAGGGAAAAAACCTCTTATGAAGAAGGTCATGGAGTACTGTTACGAACCTGAGATGGAAGAGGTGACTAAAACCATTTCTTTGTTGCATATCTTAGTTTATGATATCCCCGGTGCATAATTAGATAGCTTTCTATTTAAGGGTGAGGAAGATGACTTTTTTTTCCCTTCAGTACTAAAAGCAACGTTTCTAAGAATGATATATCTTAGTAAAATACTTTCTTGCGGGGAGTGGTTCTGTTTTAGTTCCAACATTTTCACGGAAATTAGTGGTAAGGTCGGGAATATATATTGTGTGCAAATATATGGGGATTGTGATGGTATGTTTCAGAATGGTTCAGAGGGAGAATCCTAACGGTAGATATCTTGTCTTCTTTGGTTCGTTGTGTCACATCATTATTTTATTTAATTATTTATTAGTTTTAAGAAAATAATAGTCAAATGATGTAAATTTATATTTATTGATAATTGTGTAAGATATATGGATTAATGTATACTACTGTGTGTGCGTGCGCATATATATCTGTATACTATTCATAATAACGATCAGGATTTGTTTTCTAATGTTTTCGAAATATATGATTTTTATCGGTTCATTTTTCTTCCTTTATTTCAGTATTCATTTATGTTTATTGGTTCTACACTGATATGATTTTTATCTTTCAGGCTTACCGGTCAAGCATGTTAAAGGCATTTAAAAAGACCCTTGATGAAGGGGCCTTCCCCTTTGTAATTGGTATGATTCTTCTATGGAGGAAACACGGTTAAAATTTGAAATATCAATTTTATTGTTTTTGTCTTTTGAAAGCCTGACTGTCACTTCCAAAACATTGTTTGGCTAATGAAATCATTGGTGTCATCAATTTCCTTGAGATGCAATTATGTGCTTTTGTTTAGGCTATTTCTAACGAACTGTTATTCAAGCTTCTTTATTAACAGAAGTCATCTTGACATTTCTTATGTTGCTAGTTGTAGCTCTGACATGGTGGCATATGCCAGATTAGCTTGTACGCCTATGCACAAGCTAGTGTCATTTCTATTGGAAATTATTTTCGAATCTTCTTAGATGGTCTAAAAGGCTAATTCTCTAATAACTATAGAGTCTAAATTGCACAGAGATGTAGTCACAAGATGTAGTATCATTATAAATTAAGTGGTGCGGTGCATTTGCACTGCCTTCAGTTTAACTAACTACAGATGCAGTTTATTTGGAAATTGACCCATTTCTTGCTGGTATTTGTTCCTCGTCTTAGTGGATGACCGCAATCTGCGGGTAGAGGATTTTGCTCAGTTTTGGGCAATTGCAAAGGTATACCCTCAATTCTCTCTTTAAGGCGGCCAATTGGTTTGTAATGTGTTCTCTTTTCGAGATGCTTTAGAGGTCTTTGGTTTTTTGTCTTACTTGTAGATTTTCAGACTGCAGAAGAGGTGGGTTGTTTTACCTGTTTGCAGCATTTTTATATACAAAGCCAAATCAAAATAGCGTATCATGTATGATAGAAGTAAACAGTGAATTTGGTCCATCATACCATTATAATTATTTTGTTTGAGGTGTTTAATGCTTCACGGTTTTCTAATTGCTTTCTGATTATATTTTTTGAAATTTAATGAACCTTTCAAAATCCATTCTCTTATAGATTCTGTATTTAACATTTTCATGGTCAATTTCTATGACTTTACTTTTTTCTAATTTCAGATGGAAGATTTTACGGATCGTTAATGTGTATCTTGTAACTTGGTTTCATAAATTAAAAAAAACATGTGTCATGTGTGCCATCAAACACAGCAATAACGTGCATAAACATTCTGTCAGTTTTCTGAAACAAATTTACATTAGTTTTGAAAGATTTGAGATTTAGACTGAGGGATGAATTTCAGATTTTTCTTCAATTGATTATTGCACAAAAGTTAGCCAACTGTTCTCCTTTTTAGGAGATTTAGGCTGTGTGATGATATTTATTTCCTTGATGATGAGGTGTACTGTTCTGTTTCTTTATGTGCCATTATATCATGTTGCCCCCAATTTGTGATTGATAAAACTGAGATTCTTAATATGATTACTTGTGATCATTTGATTGTCATATCTACACAGTTGACTGGATGGCTTCATCATTTGGTATATTGGCTTAGTCATTTGTCTATGCTTATAAGCTGATTTCTTGTTGTTGAGAACTATCACTTTCTATTTCTAGTAAAAGGCGATCACAATGTAATCCATTGCTGTTACGTCATCATACGCTTCGCGTTGATAGTAACTTTTAATGCAATTTTTAGATTTACGCTGTGTTACTTTTCATGGATATATTTGAGAGTTTTGCAAAGCTATGCCCTATAAGACCTGGAGCATATACCAGTTGAAAGCCCCTTTCCTCTTCTCCTTGTGTTTTATTATGATTCCGTGTTTTATATGAAATTTTGGAGAGTTAGGCATATTTATTGTAGTCGTTATCTAGGCTCCGTCCAGCCTGACGTAAATATGATGTATGTTTACAATTACATTCAAAGCCTTTCTGAACTAAGATAGTTGCTTTGAGTTTCTAAAATTCTTGATGTTTAATATTTTGTTTCCCAGTTAACATCTAAAGTCATAGTTGGGTATTTGGTTCCGTCTCCTGTTTCCTGCTTAATTCACTTATTCTTTGGTTTTTTTTTGCAGAGGTCGGGGTATGAAGTTTATTTACTAGAAGCCACATACAAGGACCCAGCGGTGAGTTTCTTTCTAGATTGGCAATGATACTCTTTCAGATACAAACTAGATCACGTAGCTGTCAATGAGGGTAATTGATGAATTAAAATATAAGTGGTGAAAAACTTAAAGAAGAAAGGTTTAATCTAAAATGAGATGTTATACCGGTGGTTTAACTTCGAAGATAAACAACGATGAAGTGGAGTTGCAGAAGATCATGTATCATATCCTAGATAAGTTTCAATAAGTTGTCGTTTATTTGAGTGTGTATATCTGTTTTGGTTATAAGTTGTATCCATCCACCCTTTCTTAACAGCGAAAATAGTTTCAATGTGGAATGTTCCTTACGATATTCTTCTTCCTTGTGGATTTCAGGGCTGCGCTGCAAGGAATGTTCATGGTTTCACTCAGAATGACATACACAAGATGGCTAATCGATGGGAGGAAGCCCCGTCCCTTTATATGAAGCTAGATGCCAAGGTACTCATATTTTAGTTCTCTCTCTTTTCACTGCTTAATATATTTTAGCTTGATAATTCTTAAAAATTGATTACCGATTTCCTGACGTCAATACTGAATTCTAACATTCATACACTTAATTATGATGGCAGTCATTACTCCATGGAGATCAGTTGGAGGAAAATGGGATTCAAGAGGTAACTTGACTTGGTACATGGACGTTGTTATATTCCTTATTTTACTTATATTATCAGGAATAATTGGTTAACTACAAGAATCCATTAAGGATAAGGAAGAGTGGGAGAAACTTAAGAATTTAATTCAAGATTAATGCAATCATTATTTCTCTGTTTCCAAAGTCCTATGAGTACATATCTAATTGATATGTTGCCCTTGTGTTATTGATAGTCTCTCGAGGTTTGAAATCTTGGCATATTTTGCTGCATTAGAGTGAACAACATGATCATTTAGTGATTAATTCTGCAGGTCGACATGGATACAGAAGATACCAATTGTATTAGTGATCCCTCTCGTTCTGAAGATACAACTATCGAAAAGTTTTCAAGACCTTTTGAAGGTTATACTGCCAGTGACAGTGGTATGTTTTTCAGTTTCCCTTTGCTCTTTTCAGATGAAAAGCCATATCTTCCTCCTTGCACATGATATATGTAAAATTTTGTGTTGATATACAATTATTTAACAGTGCAATTTTTGTTGCATCTGGATTGCACTGGCCAAATATAAGCTCTATGTTGACAAATACGTCAACCGGCAAGAATTACTTAAATATATGCATTAGCAGGCACTGGCACTGCTTTTCTCTGTAATTCTTGACTTTAAATGGGTAGGACTTAATAATTCTGTTTTATTAAGGTTCACTTGTTACGAAAATTCCAGGTCCGTCGACAAATGAAGAGAAAGGGGATGCTGAAGAAGAGCATCCAGTGGAGATGGTGAAGGAACTGGGGAAGAGCAAGTGGTCAAATGATTTGGACGAGGATGATGTCCACAAGTCTAAAGAAACGAAGGGAAAATCAATTGCCTTCTCTAGTTTAATTAAATCATACGGCAAGAAAGGTAAATCTGTGCGTTGGGCTGATCAGGTATGTTATTATCTATTTTCTTCCCGTTCAGTTGAGTATATCACTTTAACATTTTCCGAAGTACCACTGTATCAGTATAATACAGAGAATTATTTGCTTCCAAGAATGGAAATATAATATCATTTATATATCATATAAATTATCGAAAGCATGTAAAACATGTGTGTTAGTGTTGTTATCTCACTTGATTACGGCGCATGTGGACTATTCTATTATATACTTTTGTGAAGTTATTGTTATCATGTGATAGTGGCATAACTGAAGTTCCAAAAGGTACTTCCGATATTGCATTTCAATTGAAAAGATTTGAATTTGAGGTTAGGATTACAATGGACTATATAAGATGGATCTGAAAGTATAATGAATTTCTATGTGATTACGCAAAGAGTTGAGAGTCTATTGTTACTGGAGAAATTGAATATTTTGTACGTTCAAGAACATGTTATCTACTTTGACGTCGTATCTCAATTCATACTGATTTGGAAATTTGAGATTACTCTAATTGCGTTTCTGACTATATCTTCTGCCTTTATTTTAAGTTGGTATTTGTGGATTATGTTTTTCTTTTTTCAGATTGGGAGAGTTGGTTTTTCAATCGGGCCTGCGAAAACAGCAAATGTATCTCTAGTCATTGGTCCTGGTTTTGGATACAACTTGGTGAGATGCTAAAAAGTCCTTTCAAGAACAATTTAACTTGCAGAAATCGAATCATATGTCTAATCTGTTGTTTTCCAATGATTGCAGAAATCGAACCCCCTACCTGAAGAAGAGAAACTCAACCGAAGAAGTGGAGAACTCAGACGGCGAAATATATTCCAAGATCAATTACGCGCTGAGCATGAGTCGTTCCGTGCTGTTTTCGACAAGAGAAAACATCGAATTGGCGGGCTTGGTTTGGATGAGGATTAACATTCTTTTTGTTCCGTCTTTTTTTCTTTCTTTCTTTTTTGTGCCCATTTTTTATCTAATTATTTTGGCTCTTGCAATTGTTTTGCTTTGTTGTTGTAAATTGTAATACAATGTTGTTATAATAACAAATGAGAATGTGGCTGTAGTCGAAAAGTGACCGTTGTTCGAATTTTGTAACACCCACATTCCGTCTCTTGAATAAACTCACATATGTTATAGGACGACAGAATTCCGATTTTTCTTTCGGTGTTTATTTTATCGAGTGTAACATAGATTTTGACATTTTTCTCTCTTAATATTCTGACATCTGAGAAATTATGTATATGTATGTAATGAAATCGTGTGTACACCATTTTTTTGAAGCAATGTTGTATTACCTTTTATTTTTGCTGTTGGGTTGTTTTATGAGATTATTTTATGTTTAGATTAGCTCTCTGTTGACTAATCTATTTATAGTTAGTTAAATGTTCGGTTTATGTTGTAGATTTAGTATTAGAATTGTTCAAATTTGGTATGATATATATCTTTTAATAACACTCTTAATTTAGGAAAAGGTTAAAACTCTCTACAAAATAACTTGTACGGCTCACAGTTCGTTCGGATATTTTGAATTTATTAAAAGTCTATCGGGTAGCTCACTTGGACAACCTAGATTGAAATAGACAGTTTAAATTGAAAATATACACCTTAGAGCATCTCCAACCGGACACCATAACACCATTTTTTCATCTAATTTAGGTGTTTTTAGCCTCCCACCCAAAATTCCTATATCACCATTACACATAAAATTATAGAGATTTGGTTTTAGCCTCCAACCGTGGTCAACCCTCATATCACCAAATACCCAAATCCTATTTTTCCACCAAATTTTTTGGTGAAGAAATTTTCATCTCCCACCGGTCCACCATTTTCCTATTTTTTCCACCAAATCCTATTTTTCCTACCAAATATAGAGGTGAAAATAGGATTTGCCGTAATTAACACCATTTTATTAAGTACTATATAAAATGACGATTTTAACTAATTGCACCCGATTACCAACTTATTAGAATATTTATCGTAAATACATTGGTATTAATTATTAAATTAGTTTTTAAAATATAAATACATTTGTTATTATTAACAAAAGGGCTAAATACACTTTGCACCCCTGAAGTATAGCTCATGTAACACTTACCCCCTTAAAGTATCATTTGTAACACTTACCCCCCTCAACATCAATTATTTTATATTATAAAATTTTAAAATAATAAGCATAACAATCTAATAATTAACGGTTCATAGAAAATTGAAAAGTAACTAAAATTAATTGTTGAAAAAAAAATTAAAAAGTAATATATATTGAGTACTAATGAATGAAAATATATTTAAAAAAATTAATGAACTAAAATAAATTTAAATACTTAATATTTATATTAATTATGTATTGATTTCTTAAAGTTAATCGATAGAGTATTTTTGATTAGTTGGTCCAACAACAATTAGATGTTATTTATTGAATACGTATCCAATGCAAGATAATATTTTTCAATTTTTAAATATTGTATTTTTCAACAGATATTTTTAGTTGTATAATTTCATTATTCTTTTAGTTATTCCTTTCAATAAAATATTTTTTTAAGCTATTAACATTTAAAATACAAATTAAATTGTGCTTGAGGGGGGTAAGTGTTACAAATGATACTTTAAGGGGGTAAGTGTTACAGAGGGTATACTTTAGGGGTGCAAACTGTATTTAACCCTTAACAAAACATTAACTCTAAAAATATAAATATGCTTATTTTTAATTAATTTGTTTATTTTGTTGGTATCAATGTTTATTAGTTCATTTCTTTACTTAACTAATACGCTAATTGCTATTAATAAAATACAATAAGCAACAATAGAATAATTAACAAAACACACTTTAATTGATGAAATACAGGACGGGACATTTAAATTGAAATACATAGCTCATAAAATAACAAACAACATAACATGATAACAAAACATGATAAACAATAACACAAATTATATAATTTAAATCATAATAAACTGCTTATTTAAGTTCTCATGCCGTACTTAATAGTCTCTGTTGTCATAGTTGTTGTCGTTTGGAGATTCCGGGACATAAACATCTTCATCGGTGATGTTGAAGATTATGATGGTGATGATGATGATAATAATGGTGAATGAGATTTTTTTTATGATTTCAAATTGATTTATGTTGTAATATTTTATTTATGCAATAATTTATGAGATTATTGTTTATGTATGATTTTATTATATTTAAAATAATTTGAGTTCATGTTATTTCATGTTTAGACAATTTTTTAAGATTAATAACATAATTTTTAAATTATTTAGTTGAGAAAATTTATTACTTAGCATTGGTTCTATAATTAATATTTAGGAAATAAAATATTATAAAATTACGATTAACATTAGATTTATAGTTTTGGGGTATATATGGTGAAATGCCATTGGAGACCAAACCAAATTCTATTTCCTATAAGTGGTGAAATGGTGAAATATTATTATTTTAATATTTGGTCTAAATTTTGGTGATACCCATTGGAGACCAAAACCACCATTTTTCCACTAAAAATGGTGGAAGAGTAAAATGGTGTGCTACCGGTGGGAGATGAACCCATTTTTTCACCACCATAAATAGGATTTGGTGAAAAAATGGTGAAACCGGTTGGAGATGCTCTTAATACACCTTAACTGGAGCGCTTAGCTAGAAAATAGACAACTTAATTGGACAGTTTAAACTGAAAATGGACTGCCCATGCAAAGAAATAGTCAGATTGATTGGAGAAGGGTAATAATATACGCAGGCCAAATTAAACATTCATGCATTTTTTTACCATGATTTTTAACTTTTTTACCATAACTATTTACCTTTTGTACTATTCCTATCAAATCCTATAAAATATAAAACTCAACATTCAAAGTGAAAAAAATCAGATATTCAACAATTTTTGCGATGGATCCAAACAACTTAGATCCGAATGTAAATTTTTCGTTTTTTTCCCACAACCTTATCTGCTCGTGTGATTTACGCGAGCACTTGGCAAGTGCTCGTGTGCTGACTATCTTAG